TTTGTGTGGATTAACCAGCAGATTTCCCCCGTGTGATAACATCCTAAATTGGAAATAGCTTGAAGGCACACAACACACACACACACCAGCAATGGTATCAGTGTCCTCCATTACCACTCTGGGGGCACGAGGCCAGTTTAGGGAGTTCAGGATAGGCCATAGTGCACATACAGAGCTCCAAGAAAGGGAAGAATGAGGGGGCTTCCTTTGCTCCCCCTCGAGGCATCTACCACCTCAGGTGGTTGCCTCGCTCTGCCCACCCATAAACTAACAAGCACAGACACATTAACAATCAGAGAGAATGGGGAGCAGTTACTTCAGCCTTCCACAATCTGCTCCCCTCCAGATGTGGGAATGTTCTCTATGTAGTGGTTGGAACAATAGGAACTGTGTTCTCTGGAAGGCAGCAGGTTGGAGAAAGCTGAATTATTTCCTAAACTAATGGATCTGCCAGGGCTGATGGTTGCTCCAAAGCTATCACATTTGTTCTGACATCTCATCACCCCAATCAAACATATTGGGGAGGGGATTGTCATTTCTCAGTGTGAGTGGAAGAGTCACTCCCTACAGGAATGGAGAATGTGTGATTCTCCAGATGTTGGACTGAATATCCAACTGCCCCAGGCAGCAAAACATCTTGCCAGCATGGTCAAATCATGGGACTTGCAGTCCTAGAGTATTAGGATGGCTGGCCACACTTTGCCCATCCCTGGAACAGATTTTCAGGACCAGCCAGTATACTGATGAAAAAAAGCCTGACTCTAGGAAATGTCAAGGTTGGGTATTTGAAAGCATGAGCAACTAATTGTCCATGAACTCTGGACAGGACTGAGACATTCACACTTTGCCTGGAGCTCAGAATTACTCTCATTTTGCATACCCTGCTTCTAGGTCAAGGCAGGGTGGAGGGGAATGACTTGACCTAGCCCCCGCCACACACACAAAGCTTGGACAGAGTACTGATGGAAACTATGTTAGCTAACACAAAATATTTGCAGAGTGAGAAATGTTTTTTGGATATTTTTTTTTTAAATTAAGCCCCCTGGAAGCCCTGACATGTTAGGACACAGGGTTAGGAAAGCCAGGGAATGAAAGTTATGTAGCCCACTCCTCCTCCATATTGCTCTGTCCCCTTTGGATAGGGTTTCCAAAGAAGACAGAAGAGCAAGAAGAGAAAGGGGAGGGTGTGCTACATCAGGTCCAGTGTGCAAGCTGCTAAGGTCATGCTGAATTATGGAGACTGAACTTTGGGATCATTGGGGATTCCCCATTCCCTTCCTTACTCCAACAGTTCAGATTCTTGGCTTTTGTGCTTCTGGGCTCTTTCCATCAATCAACACATCTTTTATTGATGTTGAAGGAATATACATGCTGTTATCATGCAATTCTGGGATTGTGGCTTGGAGCACCTCCAGCTCTGCTCTGCTCATGTTTAACCTTCTTTGCTGAGTGGTATTCCAAAACTGAGGCTTTCCTCAGCAGAAGTGTCATCAGCATATCTTTGGACCCATCTGCTACCCAAAATGCCAGGGTCCCCAGAGGGCACCCACAATCATATTTAATAGGGAAATTGGATTAGTTCACTTAAAGCTGAGAGAGGTTTGGGCAACTAAAAGTAGGGATCAAACCTGTGTATATCAGTTCTGAGAAACAGAACTCCAGAATGCAAGGTTCAAATATAGTTTTATTTGTACATCAAAGGAAATAACCATTCACACAGACAGACAGACAGACAGACACAAGAACTAATGATATAAAATGTGGTAGCAGATAGCAAATTTCAGGATTGTAGATGGTAATATTGTACCTGGTTCTAGAAGTGGAGGTTCAAGTTGGGGGATTCTGTGACATGTAGTTGGATCAACACATTCTCTGTAGATCTGGGGTGGCCAGCAGCTGCTGAGGAGTCGGGTGAGATATAGAGTGTCTGACATCAAAACAAGACCAAACTGGAGGTGCCTTGGCAAGCATACTTATAGGACAAAATGTATCATGGGACAGATTCTGAGGTTAAAATGAATTTTCTAGGAGAGAAGAATGAGAAGAGAACTTGCAAATAACTGGCCAATCAGTGCAAATGTATCTGGACAATGAAGTATCTCCTCTGGAGAGAAGTATTCTTGAACTTTTGTTTATTTGCAAACACCAGGTCTATCACCCACCATCACTCCTATCAATAAAGGGCTTATGCAAATTCTGATCTTAATTTATCTATCCTGGCTATGTACTTTAGCTTTCCCACACCCTGAGCCAGTCGGATTGCCTTATATCATGGCTAGTTTCCTGCATTGGGAGTGCCTTCTCTACTACATGCCTAAAGCAACTCTTTTGATATCAACTTGATATTGAAAAAAGAGGAGGACTGCAGAGGGTCAGACTTTGGGGTAACACATCAGCACAGTACATGGGGTCATGCCACCATGCTGTATGTGCTCAGTGCATGGCATCACTGCTGCTTCACAACCACAGGGAGAACTGCATCACAATGGGCCATCAAGCAGTGGAGGGTATGTGGCAATAAAATCATGGAGCTGGAATGTTTGCCACTCCTACTGGGTGAGTGTTCACATGTATCTATCTATTCACCTATATCCATCTATATTCCTATACACCTGTCTAACTTTACCAACCACATTTCGATACTTCTCTTTACCCAAAATGGCTCTTAAGGTAGTCTAAACATTTCAGAAATCAGATTTCCCCTGGCAGCATGTTAATGTCCTATAACAAACTCTACAAACAAAAAGGAGGGCTGGGTCTAAGGAATGATAGAAAGTAAATTGGATTCTTGGTTACATAGTTCAGCAGGGAGTAAGATCAAAGTACTGATGATCCCTCTCCCCATTGTGGCTTCAGACATGGCAGCAGTTGATAGATGGACAGAGGAGGGCACTCCACTGGAGTTAGAGCCCTGAATGTTGAAAAGATGCCTGAAAATTGCATCCCCAAAAAATTAGAATTGGAGACTGGAGGAGGTTTGGGGCCAGATGGGGGTCTTCAGAGATCATAAAAGTTGAGTCCAGGGACCTCATGTGGCCTACAGCTGTACTTTTTTCTCACCCCTGTGAGAAAACACAAAAACAGAGTTCCTAAGCCCTTGAGCAGCAGCAGCCCTAATACAGAAATATAGGCACTTTTCTCACCTCTTATTCCACTGGAAGGACAAGACCTACCTCTTTGACATTGACAGCATTGCGCAAGCCGCAGGATGGAGCAAAAAGTGGCAGTCCTGAAGCTGAGCATGGATATGTTACTTTCTTGGACTACAGCTCCCTAAATCCCCTAGTTTGTCTGTGAATATTGTTGTAGAGAGATTCTGGGAGTCATCATCCGGAATAGTAACTTTTCTGAGCTCTATCCTAAAGGTCCAGAAAGAGGGTCTCCAGCTCATTGCCCCATAGCAAAGGAGAAGCATTCACCCATTAACACTGAGAGAGAGAGAAAGAGAGAGAATGCAAGCCAGATGGATAATATGAGATTAAAACCAACTTCCTCTGTTTTGGTTTGCTGAACACATTTGTTGCATACAGCAGCAAGAACAGACATAGGGGTTTCCCTGCCCCACCCACCCCTCTTCTCCTCGGGCAATGTTTGGCATATGTTTTATTATTTCTGGAATGCCTAACCTGACCAAAACATGACAGACTCTCTTCAGATGGAGTCCACATCCCTGCTTAGGAAAGCTGGTGGACTTAGCCAAGCAGAGCTGCCTTGCCTTCCTTCCCAGACAGAGGCCCCACTAAACAACTGCTGCTGCTTTTTATGATATTTTTTTAATTGTACACACACACAACTCACATGAGCACAGAGGCAGCTACATGGGCCAGGCCAGCAGGAAGGCTGGGCTGGTTCCAACCTGGGGGGCTGAGGGATGTTACTCCAGATACAGCTGTAAATATTTGCTGGGAACTTAAAATCTGGGTCAACAATTTGAGAGATGAGCCAGTGATTCATACCATGAGGCAACAGGGTGATTCACTTAAGAGTCCCAATGATTTTGTGGGGGAGAGTGATGAGAAGGATTGAAGGAGGGAATGCTGACCCACAAGCCCCAGAGAGAGGACTGATCAATTGCCCTCTTAGCTGTTCCCCATTCCATACAAACCTAGATTTCTACTCTTCAAAACATGTAGTCATTTATGGGATCACCAGTGTAGTGGTTTGAATGTTGGACTACAACTCTGGAGGCCAGGTTTCAAATCCCCGTTAGGCCATGGCAACCCACTGCATGACCTTGGACAAGTCACACTCTCTCATCTTCAGAGGAGAGCAAATGCAACCCCCCCCCCAAAGAAATCTTACCAAGAAACCTCCATGGTAGGTTTGCCTTAAGATTGCCAT